CTTAGTGTGCGGGGGACATGGCAACCAGCCGCCGATACAAGAATTTGGTGGCGGGATAATGGGAAAGGAGGATTTTTTGCCTCGGTCACATGAGCCGCATCAGGCGCAGTCCTTCCGTCTGTCTCGCCGAAGGACTTCAAAGACTGCCGCAGGTGTCTGACTCACTTAGAGTGTATGTAGCTATGGTACGTAAAGAAAGTTTGCGTGTGAGTTGAAGACGTAGCGTGAATGCTGGCAACTATTGGGCGTGAATACCAGACAAAAAATAACAGTGCGTGAGGATAGGAGTTCGTTTGTTGCGCATGCCAAGCTACCTTCTGGGATTAAACCTTCTTCAGTGGTTATTATTTTAGCCTGCTCGTCGGACGCGAAATGTCATTCGATGCGAGACCCAATTTATCCACTAACTCTCGGAAATCAATTCTTTTTGATTTTTGTTTTTCCCCAGAAATTAATCGGTAACTTGCAGACACGTATTTTGTCAATATTCTGCCGTTGTATAACACAGCTGCGAAAGATTCCGCCCATCAATGGGTCCCCCAGCATTCCCTGTGTGCTTTCTGGTAGATACCCAGTTTCGATGTTTTTGCCTTGTAAGAGCTTCAGAAATTGTTCGTTAACTTTTACTAAATCAGTCTGAATTAAGGTTTATAGGCACAGACCAAAAGTTGATAAAAATATTTTGGCCGGAGTCTATCAGCCACAGTGGGTTAATCACGTAGTTTGAAGCATCTTTTCCCAGATACAAATTTGAAGATTGCGTATATAGCAGAATTTAATGGAACCATAAATTTCGCGAGCGCTCATCAGCTGCATCCACTCGCTGCATAAACTGAGTAACGAATGAGAAAATACAGAATTGGATTCATACAGAAAAATCGATACAAAAACATCAAGGTCACAAGAATTGGCCCAGAGGCAATCAATAAAGAAGGAATTTTAAACGCTGTGGGCAGAAAAAAAACGGTGTAAAAATGTTTAAGGCAAAAAACGTCTCAGGCAAAAAAGTTGGGAAAGGGAATGTGTAAACAGGGAGCCGGTGCTACCACGGTAGGGTTAGATTCACCACATGCTCCATTTGTTTACATAGGTCAGGTTTAAACCGCCGTATGTATGCTGCCTCCAGGTAGCGTAAGATACGAGTTGTTTGTGCCCGAACAAGTACTCGGAAAGATGTTTTAGGGTCAACATAATGGCACGTATCCAATAGGTGTTCCGTAATGGAAGAACGAGGAGTTCTATTCTCCTGTTTCAATAGCCAACTCGGCAAGTGCTCCTTAGCTCTGGCTGCCGATTGCCTTTGTG